TGCATTGGTTGCTCTTTCATTTTGTCTCTCTGTCAAAAGTTGCTGAGCCTTGATATGAAGACATGTATATTAACAACCAGACCTTAATATACCATCACGCCATGGAGCATTTCTGAAAGTTAAGGCCTAATTACACCTTCAACAGTTTAACTTCAAGTTTTTGGATTAGAACGTATAATTCAGTTAATGATTCAGGACCAGGGTGTTGGATAGGAATTTTGCAGATCTTGATATGATAAATGCATAAGCTAATTACCAAAAGTTTGGTGCAGAGTGAGTGCATTGATCTGAATTGGAGTTGAACTTGGTTTGCTAGTAAAAAATATATGGAAGACAAATATTGAATCTTAGCATAACTATAAGTTGGCTATGTAAACCCTCTAACTTCTTGCCATGCCAATTGGACCACTTTTTAGAAAAAAATGATTCTTCTAAGGTAGGAGTTTGTGGATGTTGTTCTGCTAACTGCTTTAGGTAATAGCAAAAGTTTGGTGCAAACTGAGTGCATTTGATGTGGAATTAGAGTTGACTTGATTTGCTGGTGAAAGAATTTATCGATGGCAAATATTGAAGCCTAGGGTAACTATAATTTGCCTGCCTATACCTTCTAATTGCTGTCGTGCTATTTGGCTTTCAACCAACAAAACCAGATTTTTTTTTGATTAGTACACATAAATAGAACTCAAATCTAAAACTACCAAGGACAGATGGTAGCCATGTCTGGACATTGGGTACATCTTCAATGCCACCTCCGCCAGATGCAGCAACATTAGCTCCAAGATCTGCACGCAAGGTGTAGAAGTGTAGTATGAGTACAACCGATCCCGTGAACTCAGTAAGTAACAAATCTAATCTCAGGTTGAAACCAGTGACAAGCTCGGAAGAAGGTCAGTGTCCGACACTAGTAATCAATAATGACAAATGTTGACGACCAATTTTGACCCTCCATTTTAGAATTTATTTATTTATTCTTAATAATTTATAATCAATGTTTTGAAAATATTTTCAATAAAAATACTTATTTTAACAAAATTAATTTAGTATTAGTGGTTTTGAAATTGATAGTTGAATGTTATAATTATAATTATAAATATACCATGCTCACTATTTTTAGATTATTAAAATAATTTTTATGTACGTCACATAGTCTTTATAATTAATGTAATGAATTATTCCTTAATTTCTAATTAATTAGATTATTATGCTAATAATTCGAAATTAGTGTTACAATTTAGAAAACAGTATTTTATAAATAATTAATTACAATATTTAGTAGTATATTTGTTAAATATAATTTTACTACATTTTATTGAAAATAATTAAGTTTGTTCAAATTAATTTCAAAAGGGTTAAAATCCAAAAGGCTATAATCGCCGTTCTTAATTAAACATGGATTGGCCATCCTTTAAAATTAACTTTGGCCAAAATACAGAGATCCCAGTCCGAAAATACCCAACCCAAACAACCCCTTTAATCCCTGTAATCTAGGGGTGTTCAAAACCGAACCGAAAGCGAAAACCAAACCGAAACCGAAGCTTAATGGCTTATTGGTATCGGGTTAACGGTTTAACAGACGGGGAACGGATTGAAATTTTTTTATTAACGGCTTATCAGTTTGGGGGCAGATTATTCAATTTTCTAAACGGATAATCCGTTAACCCACTAAGAATATATATATTTATATATCCTAATGATATAGCTTCTGTCAAGTGTCAAGTATCAATTCCCAATTTCCCATTAACAAGTGTTGGTATTGGTAGACAAAATACATGCCTTTTGTTTTCTATTTTTCCCGGTTAGTGCCTTAGTGGTCATCTCTCACCATTGTATTAAATATAGAGAAAAAGATGTATAGTACAATTTACTCTATTAGAAATTTAGAATTTAGAAACCCTAAAATCTAGACTTCCCAATTTCTCCAGCCGCTGCCTCTCGCTCTCTCCTCCCATTCTCTTCTCAAGGGTCTTTCCTCCATAGCTCTATAGCTCTTATATCAACTCTAGATCTCAGACTCTCAGTTATGGCCATAGTCAGAGCATCAGATGATAAGTTTCTTTCTTCTCATTTTCGAATTTTTACTTGATGGTCGAATCTTTAGTTCTGCTATTGATAAAATAGACCAAATCTATGTAAAAATTTGGGAAAATGTCAAAATTATTCTAGGGATTAAAAGAGGAAATTTGTGCCAGAAGAATGTCATTTTCCTCGTCATACTTTGTCAGGAAATTAATTTACTTTCTAATTCGATTTCGATTCAGTTCTAATATATCTGGTAAGAATTCGAACACTAGCAAGCTAGCCTGCTACCTCTTTTTTGTTGCTATTTTGTTTTTCGAACACTAGTTTTTTTTATTTGGTTTTCCTTAAGCTTAAGTGAGGATCAGCCTAAACCAACTCACAAAGTGAAAAACAGAATTTAGTTAGTTCTGTAGTTGTTTTATACTGTTAATTAAGGTANTTTTTTTTATTTGGATTTCCTTAAGCTTAAGTGAGGATCAGCCTAAACCAACTCACAAAGTGAAAAACAGAATTTAGTTAGTTCTGTAGTTGTTTTATACTGTTAATTAAGGTAATAATGCATCTCATTAATTCGGTGGATGAATCAGTAACAATTCCAGTCAAGTCACTAAACATCTAATTGCATAATTGTTTTTCTAAAAGTCAAAAGAATATCATATGCATCTCCAGGAAAATATGTAAACATACATAGAAGATATATAAATAGACCGATAAACCGCCCGATAATAGCTAAACCGATACCAATCCGCCTGATATCTTATCGGGTGACTAGTAGATTAATACATTTAAAAGCCGATAACCGATAAGCCGAACCGTTAGGCGTAAATAACTGCCCGATCCGCCCGATAAGCAGCCCTACTGTAATCCTTGCCATCTCTTTTAAGCTAATCACGACCTGCCACATCACCCGTCTCATCCTCTCACAAAACAAACACATATAATCTTAGACGTTGATCCATATTATTAATGGATCAAATTTAATCCCGCTTTTCTGTTTATTTTAAAGGGCGAGTCACGTTTTATCTCCGCCGTTGGATCACAAGAATTCAACGGCCATCGATTTTCCTAGTTTAATTATTTAGAAATCCCTAATTATCAAAGCAATCAGAGCTTTTGATTAACAGATCCAATGGCTCTCGTTCCATCTCCCATTTTTAACTCCGAGATACCCCCCAATCCTAGCTCATTCATTGCCAAAACAACCGCCCTAGTTTTCCTTTTCTCTCTTCCGTCTCTCAAACCCCATCAACCCTAATCAATAACAAACCTTGCACCAATTTGTGCAAGGTCACAAATTCAGTCTTCAAATCATCCCCTTCCCCCTACATTCGCTAATCTAGCCGATTTCCCCATTTCTATCATTAAATTTAAAAGCCCCAATTTGAAACCCTATACCTAAAAGATGAAACTTCAACTCGTCTGATTTTTCCTTCGTCCTTGCAAATCTATGGCATGCATGGCTATATCTTTAGTGTTATCATCATTATTCTTGGTCCAGAGATCATGCATAGCGACCTCTGGACATTGGTGATTTATCCGGTGGCTTTTGATTTCAACGGACAGTTCCCCTATCTTAGGTAAAAACTATCACTTCTCTCACATCTGTCTTCTCTGATTTCACTTGATGTTGCTCACATAATAAGTTCATCGTCACTCTCCATTACCATTACTTGAATCTATTGAAACCCTAAGGCTCAATGGCCACTATAAATAGCAGCCTTCAATGCTCTCAACAAGAACACACCAACACCTAACATCTGAGAAATTAATACAGTATAGTGTTGTTTAGGAATTTTCGATTTAAGTTCGAGTTCTTACTCAATCTATGCTTTTCTCTCTCTTTCTGGTTCTTAGTTTGTTACTGGTTGAAAGCTTAATCTTTTGGCTACCTAAACGGCTATTTTGAATACCCGTTTGGTTTGGTGCTCCAAAGGAGGTTAGCAAAACCTCGATCCTATTCTTCTTTTGTTAGTTTGAATTTTCGAACATAAATTGTGCTATTACCTCTTGCTGAATGATGTCGTTAACAATGTGTTCATTCTTGACTATTTTATGTGTTTATTAATGACTGTTAAATAGATTCTGAGATCATGAACTTCCTTTAGTTATAGAAATTAAATTATGTATTGTTCCTAATGGCATTTGATAACCTACCTTTCTTGTAAGTATTAAAAATAGCCTAAAAACTCCCAAGGCCTCCTGATATTTAGTTTCTAATGTTCTTTTAATAATACAATGACAGTTATGCTAATCTGCCTCGAGTGTTAATTGCATTTCGTGATGGTTCACTTAATAACCTAGACTTAAACAAAGTGTGTACCTGTTTAGTGGGGAAAACCAGATTGTTATCTTAGTTTAGGTACACTGGCTCATGACCTTTAAGCTAGTTTTATCTCTTTGAAATGTCTTTGTGGTTCTGTTGATTTTAGAAGCTTATTAATCATCTGATTGAACTCATGACTGCTCATGTAAGCATGCCCTAAGAAGGTTGGATCTTTGTATCACTTTTATGTATATTCTGAGATTGTTATACACTTAGCTTAAGCTATACGGTATGGATAAGATTTTTTATGTTATGATATCATATTAGTTAAGGTAAAGTGTTGCTGTTAAGTTCCACTATACTTGAAACCCCTTACTTGACATGCTTAAAATATTTCCCCAATATGATGATACCTCTACCCGTTTCCTAAAGCTCATATGATGACACTGTTAGCTTGATGATGATAATTCTTTCATTTTGAAATACTATGACACATGCTAAATGTCCCCTGTGTGTTCTTGTGATGCTGCACTTATCTTGATTCTTCAATACTTCTACTTGCCTTCCATAGCCATGTATATGTCTATGTTGTCCTTAGAATTTCACCAAACTTATATGAATGATGGTTATAAGAGTTTTAGCTTGACTAAACTCTAGGTTATCTTGTATGGCTACCTCTCATCTCCTTACCTTTCTTTTACTGGGCAAGCAAATCTTGTTAGTGTCCTGTACAGGCAGAATTAAAACCTCCTCTCATCTCCTTACCTTTCTTTTACTGGGCAAGCAAATCTTGTTAGTGTCCTGTACAGGCAGAATTAAAACCTCCTCTCATCTCCTTACCTTTCTTTTACTGGGCAAGCAAATCTTGTTAGTGTCCTGTACAGGCAGAATTAAAACCTCCTCTCATCTCCTTACCTTTCTTTTACTGGGCAAGCAAATCTTGTTAGTGTCCTGTACAGGCAGAATTAAAACCTTGTTTATAAGTGACTAGACTCTAGCTAAGACACTTTGCCAGCTCATATTTTGGTAAAGTGGTTATTCCTGTGATTTAGAATCTTGTATGCATCGAGTCTTGTTAAATCGCCGGGCCAATTATAAAAACAAGATACCCTTTTCATCTTTGCTGCCCTGCTGGTACAGTCTAGGCCAAAGTTTAGTCTAACTTGCTTATCACTAGCTTAATTTCTAGCACCCCATTTGCTTAAGTAACCATAGGATTATAAGGTGCTATACCCATCCCCGCTGAAGTGGGTCAACAGGGGCGAAACAAGTATGTCTTCTTGTACTGTCCTTCACCTTGTCATTAATGATGGGGTGTCATTCGATTGTTTCAAAGTATTTGAATTGTGTGGCTCAACGTCATCTGCATTATTAGTTGCCACCTTTAAGGGTGTTAAAGTCACCTTTCTATGGGCACTTGAGAAGAGAAATGACACGCATATTTAGGGAACTTTGGGCTGCAAACCTGTCTTTGTATAACTTCAAGGCAAAATTTATGAAATTGTATGTAGCCTGTTCGGTACATTAATTTCTCATTAATTTTAAATATTTGCAGGACTACTGCAGAGTACCATTTTAGAAGGTGTTGGATGTATCTGGTTCAACCGCTCAGAAGCCAAGGATCGTGAAATTGTAGCACGAAAGTACGTGATGTCAGAAGAATCATTCTGGACATCTCATTTTCTACTATTTTTCTTACAGATTTTAATTTTCAGGTTGAGGCAACATGTTGAAGGGGCCGATAACAACCCTCTTCTTATATTCCCCGAGGGAACTTGCGTAAATAACCACTACACTGTCATGTTCAAAAAGGTTGGTCCAATGAATTCACTCGTTATATAGAATTTTAAAAGGTTGAGCTCTCCTTGACCCAAATTATAGGTCTTTTTTGAGTATTCCCCCTTCAACTGTTAGGAGTTCTTTCTTGTGAGTAAGTGGTTATAGAGTGAAGCTGAAAAGTAAATTTTGTGGTGTTTCTAGTCTTCAGTATTATTTTAGTATCTTTAGGGTAAAAAGGGTGCGATTACAAGTTCTCTTTTTCTTTTTCCCCAAGTGTTTAAACTAATGGTTTTGATGCCTCTATCCTTTTTCTTGCATGATGAATAGGGAGCATTTGAACTCGGTTGCACTGTTTGTCCTGTTGCAATCAAGTACAACAAAATTTTTGTTGACGCCTTTTGGAATAGTAGAAAGTAAGGTTTTCTTAATGCCAAATTGCTTATCTGGTGTATTTGGTGATATTCATCTCGTTATATTCTCCTCTCCTGTTTTCTGTTTGCTAGTTTGAAGTATGACTTTCTTCTATTAATTGCAGACAATCCTTCACAATGCACCTCTTGCAGCTCATGACATCTTGGGCTGTTGTCTGTGATGTTTGGTACCTGGAGCCTCAGAACATAAGACCTGGGGAGACTCCAATCGAGTTTGCAGAGAGGTAAATTTACCATTGGGAAAAGCAGTAACCACTGTTCTAACAGGGGCATTTATCTTATTAGATTTGAGATATTAACTTTTGGATAGTACTCCTATTTAAGGAATCCTTGGCAATCTTCTCTTTTCAGGGTGAGGGACATCATTTCTGCTAGAGCAGGTCTTAAAAAGGTTCCTTGGGATGGATATTTAAAATACTCTCGTCCTAGCCCCAAGCATCGAGAGAGGAAGTACGTTTCCTATATCCCCCCCGAAGTAGCATAGATGTAATACTTTGTGTCGCTTTGTGCTGTTTACGTTTACTTTGATTTGTGGTAGTAACAGATCTAATACTTTACCTGCTATGGTTCCTGTCTTAAATTGTTCTCTTGATCATTTTACATATTTTTTTAATCATGTTTGTGTGTATTCTTTTATCTGCGGATGATGGTAGCTAAATCTAAGTTAATCTCTCTCTCTCTCTCTCATATATGATGTTCCCAGGACTTTTATGTTGATGGTGTTACTGTCTACTATCCTTTTTCTTATTCTTCTAAAAGCCAGTTCCGTAGTTCTCCTGCCACTGACATTGTTGTCTTTGTTTGAATTTTCTTTAGGCAAGCTCTAGTGATACTAAAGTTGCAACTCAAGCATTTAGAGGTTATGTAAGTTTGAAGTCGCTGCTTGTTTGTTTTGTGTCTGCAGGCAACAGAGTTTTGCAGAATCAGTGCTGCGTCGCCTGGAAGAGAAGTAGAGAATTGGATGTATGCTTTGTCTCCATGTTCACTTTAACTTTGAGTTTGATTTTATTCGTAAGTTTAATTTTTCCTGTGGCCTGTAGCCGTTCAATTTGGAATAGTTGACATACTATTCTTCTCAACTTAACATTTTGGCTTTCATCATTTTCATTAACCACAGTTAAGAGAATATTAGTACAAAGTTGGCAGCAATTGTCTATGAAGCCCGTAGTCTTATTGGTTTATACTTTGGATGTCCACGAATATACAATATTGTTTCTCGAGGCTGTTCAAAGTGTTAAAACTTCCAGTCTCTTTTTTACTCTTATGCACACTATAGAAGCCCTTTTGAGTGGTGTGTGGAGGAGTTGTTTATTGGATGTAGGGACTGATATTTTAACGTTTTCCAAACTTTGAACGGGCAGATATCAGCCATTCTGAAGAAATTTCTTAAGTGGCGATTACTCTTTTGATGAGAATCTTTTTTGCACTTGTGGAATTTTCCTTTACGAAGAAGAATCATGTTTGGATGGATGACTGCTAAAACATCCGATGAGCCATTTGATAATGGCATAGTACCACTGTACTATGGCAGTATCTCTTTAAAAATAGATTGTATATAAAAGAAAGGCTTATGAACTAGTGGAATTTTTTTTACTGCAGTAGATCCTTCCTATGAAGATTGAGGTTCAAATTCCATTAGACAACTAAGGTAGCAGGTAAGTGATGAATATTCGAGGTGTGCAAGTTGAAAAAAAACAAGCTTAAACCTCGGTGGATAGAACTAACATATTTGAAACAAAAAAAGGAAGTCCTTATTAATAGATTTAGGTGATGCTTAGGTAGCAGGTAAGTGACTGTTACTGTTGCAAAAAACAAAACAAAAAAATTAACGCTGAAATCTCCTGCACGTGGCTATCCCAGTCATTGCGGTTGCCTCCATGTTAGTGAAATTAATTGTTGGCTGCAGATCTTGAGCTACACATGTATTAAGGTATCGGGGGCCTTACAATATAAGGGAATCCGAGAAGAATTATGACCAGAGTTATCTGAATTGATGTGGCCTCAAGTGTTTGTTTGATTTTGGAAGTTTAATATAATTCTTTTTGGTGGGACTATGTTTAATTAATGTGGCTAAGTTTGTAACCCAAGGTAGTCTCTGCCTCGTGTTTTGAAGTGGTAGCTTGTCTTATGCTTGAACTTAGCTGAGCAACAAGCGCTGCAGCCTTTACATTACAAAGGCATTTCTTACTAATTCCAAAGACATAAAAAAAAGCTTGAGGTCCAGGATATGAGTTAGAAGACAACAACGTCCTGGACAGAGGTTGTCGGCTGGTCAAATTTTCACATATGTTTGGCCTTTCACTATTCTGCTAATATTCCAACCTTTTCTGTGTATACATGTTTGATATTCCATCTTGTATCCTTTCTAAAGTGTGGATTTCCTTTCTTTCCCTAAAAAGTTGTTGTAAATGAGCTTCAATTTTTTTCTGTATCTGGCTCGTGATGTGACACAAGTGCTCTGGCATTTTGTAGGAGAAAGTAATTCGGATTGACCTTTATATATAATCTTTATGATAGCATATTACCACGTTTTGGCTTTCGGTCAGAGGGAAAATTTCAAAATCTCGACAACTTTGTGGCCCTATTTGTACTAGGACTATTGATTCTTTTAGAAATTTCATTTCCACGTGAATGTGGGGTTCGTTACATTTTCTTAACGTCTATTGCTCGAATTTAGAATACATAATGTCCCACTCTCTGTCACTATTAAAGAAGGAATTCAATGCAGTTTTATTATCCTATGTTCAAGGGTGGTGGGCTTGGTTGATATTCCCTCTTTCCCATTTTGTTCACTTACGTTACATTTTATTATGTTCCACGGTTTTTGGGTATTTGATAATTTCTTCTCTCATTTTAGTTGACTTTAAATAGTCTATGAAATGATGGTTATTCGAATAATTTAGATTGACAATAACTGAAACAATAGTTGGAATTGTGAAGTAGAGAAAGTTATGAAATGATGACACACTAAATTTGAATTGATCGGAATGAAGTTGCTATTTCAAAAGATATATTGCTATATTTTTCTAAACGGATCAAAACAAAGAATACGCTAAGTATAAATGAAATGTACGTTGTACCTAATTATTATGACGCTTATTCATAAGGAAAGGATAGGGTAAGACGTTATGTGGATAAATAGAAACTATTCAGCTTCACTCTACATAATTTATCAATGTGCCTGCCCTTGAATGATGATGACCATGACCAAGTGAAAGTTGCTTCTACTATATTATAAATATAAATCTGTTATTTGATTAGAAATGTATTTCTTGAGGAGAAATATAACTTCTAACTAGTGTAAAGATTAAGATGTGAAATGTAAAATTCTAAATATATTACAGTATAAAGAAAGTTAGGTTATTGGGTCTGGCTTTTCCTCATCCAAAGGATCGGAGTAGAATCCAGTCTTCTTCAAGTAATCTGTGGACGTGCGCCGATGCGGAGCCTAGATTTCAAACTGATGTGTTTCGGATGATAGTTATTTTATTTTAAATTAATAATTTATATATTAATAAATTTTTTAAAATAAATTTATGATTTGAACCAAATTTACTGGTGTGGTTCCATATTCAATTTTTCATAAAGAAAAATGAATTTGTGCTGAACTTATTTGTTACTAATATATTATTAATTAATGTGTTAAACACATAAGCGTCTCTTTTGACCCAATCCAAAAAAAGTATTCTTGAAAAATAAATTACTTAAGATTTTTTTTAAAATAACTAATCTATAGTATTTTCCCAATTTCCATAAACCTAATAACTTTTTAAGAGAATGAAGTCTACACTATTCGCACTCCTTTCACTTTCACTCTCCCCATTCTTTGTTCATTCGTTGTGCAGTAAACTGTTTCCTTTTTCGTTTTCTCATATTCAGATTTCAGACCCTCCTATTCCTTAGTATTAGCTCCTCATTAATTTCTATCCCCACCCCCACGCAACTATAATACACCCAAACCTCTCTCTACTAGTCATACCTGTAACGCCCACTAATTACACATACATACATACTCTGTAACTCACAGAACAGTTCATTTCTTGCTTTTCCTCTTTCCCTTTTTCCAAGTTAAGCTTCCTCAGTGACAGAGAATACACACAACACAGGAAAAATGGTTTCTTCTTCTAGGCTAACTATTACACTTGCTTCCCTGTTATGCCTTGTTTGGCTGCTCATTGTTTCATCTCCGGCAACAGCTTCCTTCACTTGCCGTTCCGGCGGAACCTGTGACGCCATTATTGACTACACTTTACCCAACGCCACCACCTATAACGCCGTTAAAAAACTGTTCCACGTCAAGAACCTCCGTTCCCTCCTCGGCGTTAACAATCTCCCTGTC